GATTTCCTTGGAGTGTTGGGGAGAGATTTATAGCAGGCAAGTACTAAATATTGTGAGGACCTTTACAAAAGACAGAGGTTAACATCTAGTGTGAATATACTCAAGTCAGTTTTTAAAAACCCTCATCTCTGAAGAGACTAATTAGCTTATTATGCACATATGTATTTAGACCATTGTTTTAAAACATGACTTATGTATGTTACCAGCTGCTATTGGCTTTCTGAATGATATTGCCTTTAACTTCCATTGTTATAAATAGGATTTCAGACTAATCAGCACCTTCCAAGAAGACGCTCAGTTTTTTCCCATTAAAGTCACTGGAAATTTTGCCACTGAATTACATGGTAACACAATAGAGCTCTTAAGCCCTGCTCTTGCAAATACTTAGGCATGTGTATAATTTTATTTCTGTGCACCTCCATGGAGTTCAGTTAGGTTAAAACACCAGAGTAAAGACGGCACATACTTTAAAGGGGTTGCAGGATTGGGATTTAGACTAGCTTTTGGGGGCAGGAATGAGTCTTATCCAAGGGCCCCGCATTGTAGCTTCTGCCCACCAACACACGGGTAAAAGACCTGGTTGTTTTTTTAAGCACAATATAGATTGATGATGCTTTATGCATTATTGCATGGAACACCCATACTAATAATAATATTTAAAAATTTGATTTTGGTTGCTTAATTATTTTTTTAATTAAGCCTGTTTTTTAGGTGCATCACAGACTAATATTTTTATAACAGCATAAATGATTTTGTATAGGCAAAAAGAAAATGTACTTATATTTTATTTAAGAACTTGGCTCATGAGACCCAATCATACAGAACCGGATGTGCTTGTCCCTTTTTTGTGTGCGAGTCTCATTGACACCAGGAGGACTGGAATGATAGGCTTGTTTTAAACAAACAAAAATAACTGAATAAGTGACACTTAAAGAAAAAGAAATTGTTGCAAAAATGGAATGATGAACTCTGTGAAACTTTTAATTGAAATTTTACAAAAACATTGCAGCCAACCTACTTCTTTTAGTAAAATCCTATTCTTGTTTCCAGAGAATAGGTGAAGAGCAACAGTTCAGATGCAGGTTCTAACTCGTGTAGTTTATTTTATTCAGAATATTGATCTAAAGACAACACAATTCAGCATAATGAGCAAAACCAAGTAATTTTGACTTCTCTTTTTGGGCAAATAGATTTTACAAAATGGCCATCTCCCACCCACAGCTCTCCACTTCTTCCTTCTGAGAAACTTTGGGTCTTTTGCTGCCACGTCCTCTGGACAGCAAAGGACATGTCAGAAATAGTTCACAGTACTTGTGTAGCACATTCCATGCAGGGTTCTCAAAACATTCTATACATTAAGAAAATATAGGATCCTAGTTCCACTTTTTAGTGGAGAAATTAATGCACTGAGGGTTCCCAAGTACTCAGGATCATTGTGACAGAGTTAGAGATAGAATCCAGATGTCTTGATTTTGTTGTATTTTGGCAGAAAGAACGCTCTATTCTCTAAGCAAAGGGTTTTATCTTAGAGGACAGGCAGCTACCGTCAGTCAGTATAAGACAATAGCCAGAAGTAGCACAGATTATGATCTGATCAACGTAGAAATCCAAAAGTCATGGTAACCTTTAGGGACTTTGGTTTTGCACCATATTTGGAATCCTAAGGAGGAGGTGGTGGCAGCCAAGGTGCAGTGCTGCAGCTCAAAGGACACTGTGGCATCCAGGGCACTGCTGCTGTATCACTGAGTGTACACTCTGTCCTGTGCTAGGGGCCAGGGTGGATGCTAGGCTGCTGCTGCCATCCTGAATCACCTGCAAGAAGTTGAAGAGTATTGCATGCCCAGTGCCTGCAGCTCCCAGCTGCTGCCATTGATCTCAGCCCCCGAGTGGTGGCAGCAGGGCTGAAGGAGTAACGGAGGGAGGAAGCGCAGCACTGTGCCTCTGACAGTCCAGGTGCCCTCAGGGCAGGTTTGGTGGCTGGGGCTGGGGGTACCACACTCTTCCACCTTGGAGCATGGCAGGCAGCACCTGCACCCGACCTCTCTGCCTCTTCCCTGTGCAAGCTGAAGTGGGGCCCTACCCCAGGGTGCCTTGGTTGGTTGCCCTTACTGCCCACTCCTCAGGCTGGCTCTGTTTGCAGGTCATGCTGGCAGGGCTGCCGGTAACATGGTAGGGGGGTATTGACCACCCTGGTAGCACTGGGGGGGCTGTGGTTTGGGAGTGAGGGGCACTGGCATGCCAAGGCTGCTCAGCACTACAAAGCAGCAGGGGAGACCGCCACAGTTGGACCTGCGTCCTGATGCAGTAGGAGAGCTGCTGCTGGGAGGGAGCAAGTGGGGGTGAGGGGTAGGCAGGGAGTGAGGGTCACTGGCAGGCATCCAAATTGCATTATTGATAACTGTAAAAATATAAATAAAACATTGTGTTCAACTGATACACACACATTATATATTATATAGCGGTCCTTCATTTTAATTGCAGATTATAGTCAGACTTTGTCATTTTTAAACAGAAAACCAGGATCCCTCTTCAGGATTCCTTCCCCTCCCATTTCACTGCTTCCCCATACGCGGCTACCAGTGTCCCTGCTGTCTCCAAGTGATTGAGTGGAAGGCACCAGAGCTGCTCCTGCCTTTCTCCAGCCAGTGACAGTGATAGCAGCAGCCAGGTTCCTCCTTTCTGCCTGGTCCTCCATATATTCTCTGCCAGCCTGGAAGCAAACATGGAAATGGGGACCCACCCACTGTTATTGTTGCTGTCCCTGACTGAAGAATACCCAAGCAGGTATTTTTCATCATTTCCTGCCCCACTCCCCCCATCCCCCCCCCCCTTTGGTTGGGGACAGCGGCAGTGGTGATTTGGAAAGGGGGAATGGGAGAGGAGGGGACATGCTGCTGAGCACAGTGGGGAAGGGAGGGGAAAGATTCTTACGTGCTTTGGAGACTGCTACTCCTACAGTATGATCGGAAGCGGAGGGGGTGGGGGAGAAAGGGATGTGACTGTACTGCTTCATCCTTTATGGATCTGCCCCAACGCTAGCTAGAGGTTCCGTGTGGCTCCTCCTTCCCCAAGATCTCGGTGGCTTTACAAAACCTGTCTTGTAGGTGAAATGAACGTCAATCTCACTTACCTGCTAAAGACTCCACTCTCCAGGTTGCCAGGGTCATTTGGGGTGATGTGGACAGGACGAGTTGAGGGGCTGGCAGGTGCTGGGAGTGTTGTGTTGCTTGCCTCCTCCTTGACCCAAATAAGAGTGGCACCCCGAAGTGTGGGGTCTCCAGCAAGGAAGTCAAACCAACAGCATAGCTTTCAAGACACAGGCTGTAAAGCTGTGGAGATCTTGTGGACCCCCTGGAGCCCACAGCCATCCTGGGAACTATAAACAGTGTGCACCACTCCCAGGAACTATAAGCAGAGGGCCAAGCCCCCTGCTCCTGGCAGCCTCTCCACTTCTCCCCAGAAAGTCTGGGTACTCTATCACCCCAGTGGCATTTCAGCAGCAGTGAAATTTCTAGACGGTGAGGGGTCTACCTGGAACCCGTAGCAGTGTCTGCGTGGCCAACTCTACCCAGGGACAATTGTGAACCGGTTCTCAATCAATAGCACTCTTGGAACTGTTCAAGTATCATGTCTGTTTGCAGCTGTTTCAGTCAGGCACAGGAGAGCCTGTTGTATCCTTTTCAATGCTACTATGTAAATACTACTTAAAAAGCGATTAGAGAATAGCTGTAAGGACCATTTACCAAACTGATGCTATTCAACATGAGTGAAAAGAATATGGTCCTAGTATAATGGAAAGTCTGATGGGGGATGTGACTTAAAGCTTTAACTGATAAGACTCTCTTTAAGATAGTATCCTGTCTTTTCTTTTTGCTAGATTTGAACCACTCCCATGTGTTGTTCACATAAGAAGATATCTACTGGTCTCATGAATTCTTTCCTAAACCTTTGTTTGCAAAGAAAAAAAAATCTTTTTTAGATAAGCATTTATTAGCAGCTACTCATTATTTCAGACAGGTGGGCAGGCAGATGCTGCGAGTAATTCTTGTCAAGAAATCTCAGCGCCTCAAAGGACGAATGAAGTGGACAATGCTGTTCTCTAAAGTCATGTTCATACTGGAGTCACTTCTACTGTACACATGAAACTGCCAAGTGTAGGTAATCCTTCTAACTTCATGCTGAGAAATAACACTCCTCATCCTGCAATTCTTCCTTCCAGACTGCTATAAAATGACAATTATAAGCAACATAATTGTGTCTTTTTAGAGGATTAGAGTAGAAAGAATTCAGGCAAGATCAAGGGGACTGGCAAAGCCCATCTTGTCCAAAACGAATACTTTATCATGAATAGTAATATCATGCCATTGTTTGCAAGTATTTGTACAGAAACAACCCCATTGGATGTTATAATCATATTTTAGTTTAAGAAAAATAATCACCTTTTCTTTTTTTTCACTTATTTTCTACAGCTAGTAGAAAGTTCTGACAATCCAAAAATCTCACTGGTTTAACATTCTTTTCACAATGCAGTAGCCACTTCCAATAATTTATTTTCTGAATGACTTGACTTCAAGGGGAAAATGACAGTGCAGTGTTCTGCCAACATGCCATTTCCTTGTCCCTCAAGGCCCTTCTGTAAGTTTAAATGCCATGCCATTCAGCCTTAATGCCTGCTGAGAATGCCTACAAGGGTGCCCAGTTAAGAGCCAACTGTGATGTAAAGAATGGTTATTAAGGGGCTTGTTTCAAATAGGCCACTTAACTGTGTCAGATGGCAGTAACTTTTAGTCAAACCAAGTTTAGGCAGGATTCAACATCCTACAGGTGAAAGGATCTGAAATGTGACCACTGGTTTGAAAATTTAAAAGTAACATTATTTAGCTAAAAAAAGTCGTCTTTTAAAAATGTAGACACAAATCCCCCTTCTCTGTGTAGTTTCTATTTCATTACATTTATCTGAGAAAATGAAGGCACAACAGAAACACACTGAGATCTCTAAAGCCATGTAAAACCCGAAGGCATTAAAATTTATTAAATGATGCAATAACAACAGAATTCTTTATTTACAATAGCATTATTTAACATCAAATAAGCAAATAGCATCAGCAAAGCAATATTAACTTGCATAAATGTATTTAAAATTTCTCTGAATATATCTACCTTTGCATAAACTGCTCACACTAGAAATACAAACATCAATGCAGGTGAACAAGGTGATGTTCAGAGTCAACTCCGTTTTGAAAATAAATCACAACCTGAAACACTGTAAGCTTTCTCCTGAAGAACCATAGTTAATATATTGCTTAATTTTACCCTTGTATAATCTTTTCATATACACACATCTCAGATGCAACTTCATGAGGAACTGTACAAATAAAACCCACAAATGACAAAAGGGAAAAATTAAATGACAGTAAATGTTTGAAGAAATGTGTCCATCATCTCTACCGAGCAACATAAAGATAAGTGATGATGCACTTATTCCAAAATTGTACACAATTCACTATACAAATATAATACATCAGACAGCTATGTAGGAATATACAAGACTTAAAAACAGATCTAAGGCATTATGCTAGATTTTAGCATTTTGAGGTTCTTGCACATAGCTTTACCTGTAGTAAGAAACTGAAAAGATTTTGTTTTAGTCTACAAAGAAACACCAGGGAGAAAATTCTAATTAAAATCAAAGCCACTACAGTAATTTTTTTTTTGTGCAGAGAATGCTTTTGCTCTTAGGCAGCATACTACCATACAAATACTAGAAAACTTTAAATTCACACCAACAATTAATGGCTTAAGTTGCATTTCAAAACTGATTGTGTATCTTTGGGTTCTGCAAGTGGAGCTGTGCCACCCATTTCATCTGTTAAGCCCATATGAACTCCATTTTAAACAAAGATTTAAAAAATGCATTATATAAACTGCAAAAACATTGCTTTCTGTTAATACAGACCAAGAGAGAGATTGTGTGGGACAATATTTTCAACTTTAAGTACAAATTAATTTGTTATAGCAAAACAGCTCAGTCCACTTTTCAAACTTACCACATTATGTGAACACTTAAATGGGTCATATTACCAAGTTTATGTATGTTAATTTTTCACATTATGTGTCTTTCACATTTAGCAATGTAACTTGAACACTGTTTTTTTGGTCTAATAAACAAAATTCAAATACTTTCTCCAACAAATCTGCTGTATACAGGATGAAAAATACTGAAGATGAAGGGACTTGATTTGGTTTTTTATTTTTGTTTCTACAGTGATCAATATGATCAGAAAAATCCTTCACTCACTTTTGTTTTTAATTAGTTAGACAATAACTAAAACAGCAGGAACGCAATCTGAGCCAAAGTGACATATAAAATCTCTTTTCTTTTAAAATGACAATGGGCGATGAGCTAACAAATCACAAATATATTAGAAAGATGTGCAGATCTGTCATGAATTGGGAGAAATATAAACTACTAATTTTGTCCATGGTGCCAAAGGTTATGAAAAAGTTAGAAACAAAATATAATACAAACAGAATTAGTTTAAAACCCATTTAGACTTTGTGTTGCATGACATTAAAGTCCTTCTAATTTATACAATTCTTATATAAATAATTTAAAATCAGGTATATAATGTATATTTAATACAAATGTCATCGTGTCAATGAGGCTATGGAGCTCAGGGCTGACAGTTACTTTAGTTTTTTACCAGAGCAAAACACAATGGCTCAGTTGATTAAATATTTCCTTTTTTTAGTTTGACCAACAAAATGGTAACTGCTGAAAAATACTTTTTTTCTATGGGTTTTGAATCCTGCTCTCAGGGGACAAATGGATTCTAATTTTCCTTGGTTTTCAGCAAAATTGCTCCATGGAAAACAACTCTTTCCAATCATCTTTAACATATTTTCTTCAGCTTTATATAAAGCAAGAAGTCGTTTGTACATTTTAATCCCCACCTCAAAAAAAAAAAAAAAAATCAAATTACAAGAAAATAAACCTTTTACTCCCAAAAGACATGGCTGATGAGATATTATCAAATGCATTGCATTTTAAATGACATCAAAACATTGGAGATCAGGTAAGAAAAGTGTGTGGATTGGGAGTTAGAGGAAAGAAACAGGAAGTCAAAGAACTTCATCAATTCCTTGGTATTTCAAGTCCTCATAAACTGATGCCAGTTTAGTAAAGATTACTCCAACCCCAATGGGCAAGAAAAAAGCCAGTCCCACAGTGGCCTGCTTAGTAACAGTTAGTTTCTCTAAGAGTCGTTAAGAAAGAATATAAACATACAAAAATCAAGAATTGGTTCCTACAGTGGCTGCATATAATATAGTTTAGATAAATGACTTCATGAGCAGAATCACAAGATTTAAAAAATGAAAACTCTCAAGCCTACAAATTAGGTCTAATCAAGGCATTGTGATCCTTTACAAAACACTTTTTCAGGAGACACACACGGCTATGAAGATATCTAATTTAATACTGAAGTACCTCATTTGGAATCAACTCCACAACATGTATATCTCACAAAAATTATACAGTTAAAACACTTAAGTTTTGAACTTAAATTATTGCTTGTTTATATATAAACTGGATTTTATGTACCTTACAAAACTTCCTCAGAGTCCACACTGCTTTAAAATAATTAAAAATGCACGATGGTGGTTCCGTCTGTAGTGATATCTGCCATAGGTTTTTAAAAAATCATTATTTTCCCAGCAAAGGGAACAGGGAATGGAAATTAACATGTTTTAAAGCAGGTGTCTTTAGCTCTTTTTGATATAATGCACCAATTCTGCCACTACCATCACCAGTAAATGCATTCTCATTGAACTCCATTATTCAGCAACTGGTTACTTGCAGTCTAAACCGCTGGTAACACACTTAGGGAAATGAAGGGCTTACCTGTTCTTTTATTCTATAGAAGAGGTGAATGAGAAAAATGTCAAGAGTCAGGTAAAATCATGGTTGCTGATTTTTAGGAATTTAAACAAAAAAGTAACTTACATTGATCTTTTTGATTCATGATTGGTATTACAAGCATTAAAAAATGTGCCTTGTAAACAGCCCTCTCACAGAGTATTTTTAGCCCATTTCACAACTTGAACCCATTCAAAATTGATTCGTACAGTATTTTACACATGTTCATCTTCCCTAACTTGTCCTTGAAATCAAACCCACTTATTATATTTGTATATGCACCAGACGTTGCCTCCCACCCCTACCAGGTTTTAATCCCCAAAATGCAGGCCTTAGTTTAAAACACAAATTTTCAGATGGAACTGAATCCTTTGCACCAGACTGAGTAGCCAGGGAAAACAAAGCAAAAAAATAAGGTCTAGAACTAAACAGAAACAGAACAAGAGCATGGTTGTTATTCCTTAATTACATACATTTAAATACATTCAATCTGACATGGTTTATGAAAATTGCCTGTCAACATTTACTTTGCAGGAGAGATCTAAGTTGCACTAAGGTGAATGCAGTGAACAGACTGAGCAACTGTCTGTACGCTAGCTTCAGACTGTCAAAGAAGAGGCTGCTCTTCCAGCAACAACCATTTTGACCCCACTCTGGAAGGCAGAGCTGAGTCCTGTCTGCAGCGCTTAGCCGAACTTGCTCCAGTGGAACTGGCTGGCAGGTCAGATGGGTCATAACAAACAGATGCAGCTCTTCAAACTGGTTAGGGTTTTGGGCTGGGGAGCCCAGTCAGCTGGAGAAGGGAGCAACCAACAACCTTCAGGGTCAGCAATATTTCTGCAAAAATAGAAATAGGAAAAAAATCAATTACTTCTTCATGGACAGAGATGCAGAGGGTAGGGGAACAAGGCTATGTTGCCCACATACAGATATTAAAATAATGGAGTCACTGAGATGTGAGGAATTTTATGCTCCATCCCAAACACTGTATGGCAGAATGCACAATATTTGGGATGGGCATTAAATTCCTTAAATCCAATTGTGCCACTGCAGGACTGCCCCAAGTCCAATCCTGAGATTCAGACATGCAGCTTTGTCTTCGATACTAGGGCTCTCCTTTGCCCTATCCTGATGCTCAGCTGAGTGTCAGGAATGGACACGGGCAGCCCCAAGACAGAGCTATTTGGGGCCAGATCCAACAATCAGCTAGTTTGAGATTGGCTTGAGGTACAATCACCTGATTGTTGGCACCAGCTCTAGACAGCCCCGAGTCTGGTTGGAGATAATGGGAGTATACAGGGTCAGTGCTGTTCTAGATCTGGGGCTGTTCCCTGGAGATGCTGACACTCAGACAACTGGCAGAGTTTGGGGCAGCCCCAGTGTGGAACAACATGTGCAAATGTTCAATTTAAGATACCACAAAAACCAGCAACACAGATGTTCTACATTACGTGGAGTATCTTTGTTTCTGGTTTTCTATTTTACGGTACCACAAGTTGACTGAATATGTGGCATGTTGTAATTTATGGTACAAAAAAACACGTTAAATGTATTATAAAGGTAACATCTACCAGAGGCCATAGACACATGCATCTGTCTTGCACAATACAGATTTAAACAGAACTCAGTCAACCTACATGTCATGATTAAATAAGACCAAAAGGGACCAAACTTCCAAAACTGGCCATAAAAGAGGCAGCTTCACAGTTCCCTGTGCTCATGCCATTAAGGCTTTACTTCAACACCAAAGACCACATGTTACTTTAAATATGATTAGTACTGCTGAAGTGAGTGGAACTATTCAGAAGTGTAAAGTTGTGCTTTGCTGCTCTGCTACTGAACCTTTGTATGTGCCCAAATTTAGAAGCTGAGAGAAATTTAGACAGCAACCAGTAACATAGCTAAAGGTAGAAACTGGGGCACTAATGGCAGGTGTTGATTTTGAAGAGGCACATGGTATCCCAGCCATTGTTGCTGCCTTGGCCAGTGCCCTTAGTGCAAAAACTGCTTGTAACACCTCTGATGATAATCTGATGATAACCTCTGAAACTGAGAACCCTCAACAAGTGCTCAGCCCGCCAGCTCTTCTTGGGTATCTGTCTTCTCATGTTTGGCTTGGAAACATTATTCTGAACCTGAACATCACTCTGAATTTGAAAAATCCAAAACTAGATTCTTCCCAAAGAAAGTTTCCATTTAAGCAAATCAGCATTTTCCATCAAAAATACCCAACCAGCTCTACCTGAAACAACAGCTCTGAGAGATGTGAGCCGCTCCATTTATCTCAATGAGATGTTGCTGCAAATACATAGCAATATTGATATTTAAATAGTTGTGGTTAACTATTCCACATTCCTGATCACAGAAAAGGAGGGTGCTGATCATATCCACAAGCTACCGAGAGTGTAATTTCATTCTGATCAGTGATACTTGCCAGAGAAACACCTCTTTGATTTCCCCTTACTGTTTGACCCCCTGAGAAATGACAGCCCAGAAGTGAAGAGGGGACTCCTGTGGGGGTATATGAGCAACCTGCTAATCCTACTGCGAAAACATTGCTTTCTAAATCAGTGCAAGAGCTCAAACAGTCAAATCCTTGTTGACAAACTTTGCACTTTGGCCCTCCCAAACAAAGGTGTGGTTTTCTTTGTGGTGATTTTGGAGCAAGGCAGCTTTCTCCTTGGCTGGTATGGTTGCTGTACTTCTAGCTCCTAAAGGCTGTCTGTAGATTCAGGCAGATCTCATCACATTGCATTTGATTCCCATTTCAAGCTTTTCTTTGTGGCCACGAAGACTAGGAAGGTACCTGTTTTTCCTGAATGACAACTCATTTCAAAACATCACCCTACTCAGGAATCCAGGGCCCTAAATTCATGTCTACGCATTACTCCAGGCCTGCTGCCGACAGGCATGGCTGAACCTCAGGAGCTCCATGCATCCAACACAATACCCCTGTGATGATGATCTGAATATGCTCATAATTTACTATAAATGACCTCTGATTTTGTCATCTCAAGTAGGCAAAAATATCTAGTTGAGCTAGGCCTAACAAAAATTTACTATGCATTAGCTTCTATGTTTAATGCACTGACAACATGTGCTGCAACAATATTAGCATATGAATTCAAAACCCTGTAGAAAAATAGACATTCATAAAGAAATGTGTCCTTATGACCCACTAAATCAGCCAGCCCACAATGAGCCACATTCACTGCAATGACTATAAAGGCTTTCACAGGGAATAAACTTGGTCAATGCATCATAACAAAGTTACATGATAAGAGAAGGAAAATATATAAAAATACAATCCTGGTGAGGAAAAAAACAACTTTTTTGGAGGGATTACAACCACTTAACACAACTTTAAAACTTAAATAAATAAACATGGTTTCCAGATGGAAATTTTACCAGCATATTTAAAAAAAAACCCACAAAAACTGCAGCCCAGAGCACCTTTTTATGACTGAGTTAAGACAAACATAAAGAGATGGTCAGAAAATCCTATCTTCAGATCATTAACAGTAATTGTGCTATTCTGTTATAATTTAGGGTATATGTCTTTCAACAATTTTAACTCTAAATACCCTATGGAGATGAGATCTGCTTTCAGGCAAAAGCAGACTTAGATTTTCTTTTTCTTTTTTTAAATATCTAAAGTTAGTTAATACAAATTTGTTGCACCAATGGCCAGACTATGAATTATTAATGTGTGCTAGTTCAAATAGTATCGTAGGATCATAAATCAAATATGTTTTGGGCTTAGAAACCAACAGGAAATTCTTCATTCTTTAGTTACCTTGAAAAGTTTAATTGTTAAATATTTTTATCACTTTCATCGATCTTAAAAGTTTTAAAATGTCGTATTCTTTAACATACTAAAACAAATGTAAAACCACATTAAGCTACCATTAGCTAAAGTTAGATTTCTACATACAGAATTCTGAAAATTTTTAGTATTTGTGTTGTAATACAACATAACTAATTCCTGATTAGATTTTTCTTCATATAGCTACATCTATTGTATATTTTTTATTTTAATCAAAGAAAGCCTATTTTTAGATTACACAATATACAACAAATTGATTACTGCTGTAATATAATAAAAATATTGCAAACAATGCTACCAGCTGTGACTGATTAAAATACACTAGAGAAGCAAACCTGCTTTAACCCCAACTTCAGGATTAAGGAAGTTTGCAAAACCTGTATTTTTAAAAACATGTTACATATTTTACAGGTACTTGTGCAAAATTCTGACTGGGGAGACAAGTGGACTCCCAAAGAATTCTGTAGAATTCAGTAGTTTTTAACCAGGACAAGTTAAATTGTTTACTTGCTGTTACTAATACATCTAAAATAGGCTATGTACTTGAAAGTGTTTCAGTTTGATACTGATGAAATTGTAGAACAAACATCTGAAATCATTATTACATACTCAGATTATCCATATATTTATCTACTTAAACATTGCCATTTGAAATGAATTTAATTTTGATTTGCAATCCCACATTGGAACTCTTACCATAGCAAATCCTCACATAAAACTCCAGCATCTTCCTGTCCACCTACATTTAAAACTTGCTTGCTTTCTATTCTATTGATTAACACCTTAATCTCTTTTTCCCAGCCTCAGCTTCTGTACCTATTGCCCTCTTCTGTCACGTGCTTCTTCCTCTTCCATTGAATCTGCCCTTAAAAATCCACAACCTCTAAAAACTTCCCCCCCCCCTTATACTCATGATCAACAACACTGTTTCTGGAACTCTACAGGGTAAGGACCATATTTGTGTGTCTAAATGGCAAGAAGATACTTCAAAGATACCATCCAGAAAAAGGAGATATATTGCCATCAGTGGCCATCTTTTCTATTATTTCTATTTACATGATCCACTCCACAAAAAAAATTACCTGTAGGTAAATGTACACAATGGCACATGAATCCCAGTGGCATTGAAAACAGCCTTTCAGCCAGTTGTGGTGTTATATGCATGTGCCCATACACAGAATGGTTCTGAAGAGATAGATAACCCTTCAGGTTTCTCTCCTCAACTTTCTGACTGATCTCATCTCAACATATTTCATCTCTGAATAGACTTTTTCCTCCTCTTTTTAAATTATTTACTCTGAAAGTGGAAAATTTTACTTCTAAATGTTATTACTGGCTTCAGCCTTTAATGCTTGCATTTTAATTCCATTTCTTTTTCCTTGGCTTTTATCATTGAGAAATGGAAGGAAGTGACAAGAAATCCAAGTTTTTTACCCCTTATTTTGCTTATACTCTTTTCCATATTTTTCCTGTTTTAATGGTTCAGAAAAAACTCTGAAGGGAAGAAAAAAATACAATGAAAAAAAACAGGAAAATCAAATGTGGTCAGAAATAAGTGAGTAAGGAACCAATTACAAAAAAACCACCCACCCAAAAGGGGCTGGGCAACTCATTTGCAACCCCACTTCTGCTTCAGCACAGCAGGCTGACCAAGTCTAAACTATTTCAACAGCTTTAAAGTTTGTATGAAATGGTGGCTGGCTCCACGATTAGGCAGTCTGTGTGGGCATTCTATGGCAGGAGAAAACAACTAAACAAAAGAGTAATGCTGCATGCACTTTATTTTAGGGTGGAAACCTACATAAAATCTTTCTGTTTTCTTTGAAGTAGCTTTAATGAAAAGTAAAAATGAACACTGATACAAAAATTAGGTAATAAAAACATCAACCACTAGATGGTGCTTTGAAACCATGTGATGGAGTAACAAACCCTGTTTAATCCTTACAATGCTGGATGTGCAATGCAAATGTGAAGGCATCAATTTAGTTTTCGTATGGTTTTAAAAGCAAGAATATTTAATTGTTTTCAGCTCATAAATTTCCATGCAAAAATACTTCAATTGCAGTGGCCTTCCTTTTATATTTGTGTGGGTTTAGACAGTTGTAATGATGCTTGGATCACACACCTTTATTTAAAATTAACTCTGGTCCATAAGAACCAAATTTGTTATAGCAAGCTTCTTCTAAAAGCTGAGAAGGCTATTTTCCATGAAGAACACTCCAGTGAGGGGGCACCTAAAAACTACCTTGTTCATCTGCCAATGTGTCAAAAGCCTATGGTGGCTTTCCTTTAATACTACTACTGGAATACAAATCAGTGTAGTTGTGAGTGTTAATTACTATATCAGCTGGAGACCAGTCTGCAACTTAGCTCAGTGCTGCTACTCTCCTTGGAACAAGTATTGTACAGAAGGTAATTTAAATAATTCATAAAATTGTTGCCTTAAGTACAATACAATGAAAAGCAGAACACTTAGCATTAAACATAAAATGGATTAAGCAAACAACAGTGGACATATAAGTCAGCAGTGAAACCTCACTCCTCTTTACCAAACACTTGTGTAATTGCTCTGTAAAAAGAAACTGAACTCTAAATTAAACTTTGCTGAATTTAATTGTTTGTTACCTTCATATATGTTAATGTAGAATGGGTAATACATGAGATAGATTTAACAACACCATTTGGAGTCTAAATGAGGATCTGTAATACAGATGTCACTGCCAGTTGAATTAACAAAGAATTCATTGGAAAAACCTTTTAAAAACACTAATACAAAGAAAAATGGATTAAAATCATGGGTTATCAAGAAGGAAAAATCACTCGCACGATAGCTGTTTCTAGCTCTGCTACAAACAAGGGCATCAATACACCTTCAAGTCATCAAACTACTCAGTTTCTAGTTGACTCTGTGTGCATTCATTATTTCTTACCCGTGTTGCATCTCCCTCCTGCTTTATCATATCCATTCCAGGCAGCTGGTTTGGAAAAAGATTGCCTCCCCTCATAGCAGGATCATTAACCTAATAGTAACAAGATATTGAAGCAACATGTCAGAAAACATGAAGAGACAGTAAAAAAGAAACATTACAGAACTAGATGGATAGAGGCCTCACTTTTAATACGACTGTTTAAAGTCTGTTAAACTGGTTTAAGCCCCCCCGTTTTCCCTTTCTCAGTGATAAGCAGGTGAATGGATTTTTGTAAACCCCATCAGCAGATAATATAACTATGCTATTCTTTCCTGGATGGAAAGGGATTAGAAAGCCTTGCAACTGTGTGTTTGGCTAAATAACAACAACATGAATTTAGGAAGACTATTTTCTTTTATTGACAACTGGGCAATAGATTTGCTACTATATGTAAGAATCTCAAAATGTGCATTATTTTCCATTTCATTCAGGCAACTGGGAGAAAGCAATTGAAAAAAAGAAGAAGATAAAATTTATATTTAAATTTTAAAAAAAAGATATATATATTAAAGAAAAAATATATATATTAAAGAAAATAACTTCACAAAAACAGCAGCATGTATATGACAGTAGATCCAGCAGAGATACAGAACAGCAACCTGGCCCTAGTCTGCCTTGCACAAGGTTAACAAAACCATCAGGTGACATCCAATTGCAGATAAGTTTTTATCATCAGTAAAAATACAAGAGTTCAAAAATCATCTTGTTGTTTTGTAAATGGAGCAAATATAATTTGAAAGTCACTGAATGACAAAACAACCCCAAAGTATCTTTTTCATCATCATGTTTCTGACTACAACTGAAATCGAAGTTGTGTTACTGTTTCCATTAGAAAAGCAAAAACATGTGACCTAACATTATTATTATTTTATATTTGTTACAAACAGCTTCTGCTGCAATAGAGAATGCTTATGGTTTATACCAATGGGATGGCTGGTCTGGTTATGATTTAGATATTAAACCAGAATAAAACAAAATCAGACTTGTTTTCCAATAACATTTCTAAAGAGCAAATTACCACAGCCTGCCGCCAATTGAGCTGAACTGTTTGGAAAATTCCCAATAGAATGTTGCAGATTCTTTCTTAACTCTTCTGATCCTGTATACAAGATATTCAAGACAGTTTTCAGAGTAACTTTTCAAGGTAATTCATGCCAGCTTGACCTTGACAGTAATGCATGTGTGTGGATGAACAGAATGAATCCTCAGTGGTCACCTTGGTAATGGTTTATTTACATATTGCAAAACCTCTCCTCCTGCACTGCTGTGGAGATTTTAACATCCCATTTCCACGTGATTCAAAATACAAGACAAGTCACAATACTGCACGCCTAAACCAATAAACAGGAAGATATTAGAGATGAATTGTTGGTAAATGGTTACAATTTTGGTTTTGCTGAACACTGGAGAATCCACTACACAGAGAGGGGCCCGTTTGGTTTTGATGGTTTCCATCTCAGTAGGATCAAAGAAAAGTAAGGCTCAAAGGGACCTCAGGTGGTTGTCTAGTCTAGCCCTTGACTCAAGGCAGAATCACCCCTGCCTAAACCATCCCAGTCAAGTGTTTGTCTAACCTGCTCTTATCTTCCAAGGATGGAGATTCCATAACTTTCTCAGTAGCCTTTTCCTATGCTTAACAATGCTCATAATGACAAAGTTCTTTCTAATATCCAACCTAAAGGAAGAACAGTCTCTAATAGTAGTAGTATAGTAACAATCTACTGAAAGAATAATTAAGCTAGCCTAAAGGGCTTCACTTAATCCTAAAGTGGAAAGTGATAATAAGACAATTAGTGTATTAACACCCAAACATTGGTGGATCTAGGATTTTGAAAAGTGGGGTGCACATGGTGTGGTGCAACATCATATTACATAATGCATTTTTCTACAACTAAAAAAACCCAGAAGGTTTCCTAATATGCTAGGGGCCCAGTGCTCTATTATTCAGTTTAAGATCAAAGCAAAAACAAACGTAACTATTGGAATGTGCACTAGTTTGCTAGGTTATATATTAATTTTAAATGCATAACAGACCAGGCCAAAATAGTCAAAATATAGTGTTCTATTAGTCCTGTAGTCTTTATAGATAAATGTACATTTCTTATTCAGATTCATAAAATGAAACCTAGCCTTCTTGAGCATCTTGAGAGGGCATCCAATACTTGACCGTCAATCATGTCCACATCTGAGTTAACGTTCACTTGAGTTTAATATTACCATACCTGGGTTAAGATTTCTACTTTGAGCTATAAACAGTCTGTGAAATAGATGAGAGATATTACCAAGGAATGGCTAACAGACAGCAAAACTGCATTTTGCTATATGCAACCAAATCTCCCAAGTTAACATGACAAACCCATCTATAAGTACCATCAGTAACGTGTCAAAAAAAAGTTACACTGAGCAAGAAGCCATCTATTAAAAGGTTATGTGGAAGTGGAGATAAAATAAATAAATAAAAAGCGGTCATCAAGTCAGGCTCTGCCTCAAGAAAAGCTCTCAGGGCAATGTTGGAAAAATATGGGTAATCCTTACATGTGTATTCCCATCTTCCATTGCTTAATTAGTATTACTACATTAAACCTTACCTGGGGAAAATATTCTCAATTTCCCAGATATTGTACAAATACTATTAATAATTGCAGCACCCATTTGTTCTTTCACAGTCACAGAACCAAGAGTTGGTGCTATTCTAGATTTGGTTCCAGTGGGTGCGTCTACACGTGCCACTTTTAAGCAGACTTGGCCTTAAATTGCCATTTTAAGGTGTATTAAGGGCACGCATGTATAGACATGTACCATTAATGTGCCTTAGAAATGACAATTTTAGGCTATGTGAGCCTAAATTTGATACCTACATGAAGCAGGTATCAAATTTAGGAACAACTAGCTAAGTTGCATTACTACACATGTAGATGCACTAATGCACACTACCGTGGTATGCATCAATGGACAGATACCATGTTAATATGCATTAGCGCATCTGCATGTGCACTAATGCGACTTAGCTATTCGTGCCTAAATTTAACGCACCTTAATGCACTTGTGTGTCCATGTGTAGACACATGCCTAAATAGTCTTAATGCACCTTAAGCAAAGGCGTAATCAATTCAACTGCGTGTGTACACATGCCCAGTAAATAACAAAGACATTATAAATGAATTGGTTGTGAAAAACTGAGTGATCAAATTTTAGACTGAGTGATCAAAAGTTTATTCATTCGCAGATAAATTAAAGATAGCTCAATGACTAAAGTTTTTTATTTCAAAAGGACAAAGTTTGAGAAATTAAGGAAAAGAACTTAAGAAAGTAAATAGGATGGAAGAGCTCATGGAGTTAAACTTATGTTTGGTGGAGGAACCGTGGAACTTTTTAAAGCAAAAATGTAGACGCTATCCAGAATTTGCAAGCAAGAGAAAGAAAACATGTAGGGCAATACTCCTGACCTAATTGGATGAATAATCACTTCTAAAAGATATTAGACAGAAGTAGGGAGCCTAAAAGAAATGGAGAAGAGGGAGTGATTAGCAGAGACTCTTTTGTCCCAGAGGTATGAAGTGGGAAAAGTTCAGGTAAGTTAGAACTCACAAAGAATGTGAAAAAAAAAAAAAAAAGAATCTTTAGACACATAAGTAAAAAAAAGGAACAAACGAAAAAATGGGGCCAATATCCAGGGAGGATGGGACTAAGTATAAAGATACTCTAGGCATGGCCCCCCAAATACTCCATTTTCCAAAAACAGGATGACAGTGTTCTGCACGGGAGCAAAGACAGCAGGATGACTAGTGAGAATGATGTCTAGTAAAGTGATTTTCACTGCAGTGGATGCAAAACTGAGACAGCTGGGTATGCTGAAAGAACTGGCAAACGGAATTGTATGTCTGATTGTATATATACTGGAAAACAGCAAACATAGCACCTATACTTAATAAAAGGAAACACAAACTGATTGGGCAACTACAGAACCACTATTTTGACCTCAGTAATATGTAAACCTTTAGAATAATGTGATATGTCTGTGAAAACATGGAAATGATCTTAGGATGTATCAAGTGAGAAAACTTTAGTATAAAAAGAGCAATATTAATTCCATTATACACATGTGAGCCCTGCTGTCAACTACTGTATGTTTTTGTCACCCATGTTCAGGGAAAGATGAACTGGAACAGGTGCAAACCCCTAACAACTATGAAAGGTTACTATGGTCATCAGGGGGAATGAAAGCCTAGAACTGGATGTGAACTGGAAATTTAGATGTGACAGGTACTCTACTCTATTAGTTGACTAAGTCTTTTTAAAATAGAACTAAAACAAAGGCTTCCTTTTTGTACTATAACCATTTTCAAAATAGAGCAGTACATGCAATATAATGGCTTGCAGCACTTTTAGCTAATCTCACCTACCCAAAAATATACATGTCAAAATAAATCCTTTAGCTGTGGTTCCATGTCCTTAAATTCTCACCTGCTCAGGACCCATGGAGGACAACCCTGATGTAGGCACAGAGGTCGCTGAGGTCATGCTGATCTGCCCTGTCATCTGGTTCATGTTGTTCATACCACTTGTGTTGGTTGCCATGGATACACTGATGTTCATGCTGTTATTATACATGCTGGTGCTTGCTTGCTGCCCAAAATGTGGTGGGGACTGTTGTGAAAACATGCTACAGCAAGGAATGGAAAAGTAGTGTCAGACATAGAATACTGAAGCCACCAAGAAACAACTCTGTTTTGAAATTCTTCAAAAACTGATCCACATTGTAATATACACTCATTTTAAAAGAAAGCCTGCTTTGCCATCATTAATGTCTGTGAGCTATTTTCTCAAAATCAAAGGCTTAATAGCTATACAAAAAATGTGCATCTTTGTTTGCATGGGCAATTATGATGTCTGAGGCTACAAATCTGTTGTGTGTGTGCATAACAGACATTTACACATATTAAGGGCTATTCACTGCGTATGTTTAATAGCCTTGGGAGTGCAATTTTTGGAGGGAAAGTAAAATGCCCTTTCCTTCCCACAGTCCTCATCACAGTACAGTGTGGTTAAGTAGATCTGGTCTAATTAGTTGTCACATGAAAGGCAAGGATTTTTTTTTAGAGTGATATCTCTAATTGGACCTACAACATAGTTGGGATAGAGGTGACAAGCTTTTGAATGCAAGGCATTCTTCATCAGGTCCTTAGTTTTCATGCTCATTTTGCAGGACTATTTTAGAAGGCCATTTGCACACTTAAATACCAGACTGGCATGTACACTTATAGCAAGTGGTCTCACAAATATAGGCATGCTAATGTGCCGATTTTTGCTGACTGACTTCAAACATCACATTTTGAAAACAGAGTCCTGTAAGACATAGGAAGGCAAATGTCTATTATATTCAAGATGAAGACAACTAAAGAAGAACCAGCTGCAAAAGTTTCCACCCAAGTTTTACATAAAATTTAGTGCAGGCTGGATCAGAAATTCCCATTCTGGGTGAATCATACTAGAACTATATCTCAGGAAGTCCTAAATGAGTTCCAGTATTTACTCATCAGCCCTTTCTCTTTTCAATGAGTAAACAAGTTACTCCATGTATGTCATTGATGTATGCATAACTGAGTGCATCTACACAAAATGCTTACTGCGGAGTTGTCCAATTAGATCAGCAGTAAAGCATCACCGTCTATATGAGTGGTGCTATCAGGCTAGAGAGCAAACGAATTAACTCCGCTGCAGCACATGTAGACAGTAACTGGGGCTGGCTAGGGCATGAGGGTGCTACAGTGTGGGGCTGCCTGCTGGCTAGCCCCACACTGTAGCACCCTCATGCCCCAGCTAGCCCCTCTGCAGCATGTTGAGCTGGACAGAAGCAGGCCTGGGCTAGCAGGCTGACCCTTTGGGTCTCCTGCCAGCTGGGGCTGTCTCGCCCCAGCTAAACGTGCTGTGGCCCCAGGCATATGCGTAAATGCTGCACTCAAGAGCAATAAACTCCAGGTCAAACTGTGCTAGGGTTTACTGTATAACATTAATATTCATGTGTAGATGTACCCACTGAGAGCTTGTCTACATGGGGAGGATTACTTCACAGTCAGATGCTGCATAGTGGTTGACTTGCAGCAGTCATGGCCACACAGGCTTTTACTTGCATACAAATCATCTCTTCCTTTTGCTGCGGAACATCCCCTGCAATAAGCTCAGTGTCGCCACTGTGACAAGGCACCAGAGGCATATACTATAATATGAAGTGCAGATGCACTCGTTTAAATGTTAGCACAGAGTAGTTATTGTGTGATGAGCTTACTAAACATTTCAAACACGAGTACAATGTTCATTCTACATTTTGGTAATGTTGATGAAACCTGTGTGCTACAGAATTTTAACCACAGCCTATTGTGGGATATATACCAGAGGCCAATTAGGAGAAACTACAGTTCTGGAACCGGGGCAATCTAAAAAAAAAAATCCCATGATTTTCTCCTGCCCTCCTATGAATCACATCTTTTTTGGGTTAGTTGGCACTGTTTTCAAATAGTTATCTAGCCATGAGGGTAGAAACAGCATTCTGCATTGCAATTCTTGTCACTGCAAATAAACAGCTGATATACTTATGCAAATATACTTGACATATTGATGCTGGGCAGCTGCAAATTTGCAAGCCAATTGCTGTGTTTCTAAGAAGCATTAGCTCCAGTTTGACACTACAATGACAATGAGGCAGCATAGGTGCTTATGCAGCACCACTTCTAAGCATGAGAAGCCAGTGTAAACTGGCAGGAGGAAACTATCCTGTAGACCTTGGATGCCTAAAGTACCTTCAGCACTTCAGAATGATAAAGTGCATTTTCCTGGAGATCTACAGTGAGATTTGCCCAGAACTGCAGCAGTTGTACACCAGCCCTCCATTTAGAAACGTGTGGCCATCACCAAGAAGCTTACCCTCCTATAGTTGCTACTCATCAGTCACAAGCCAATCTGGTGTGGAAAGATTTGACTGCTAAAGATGTTCTGATGGAGCCACATGCTGCTATTAAAACAAAATACTTCCACTGCATGCACAAGGCACGGCTCAGTACTAACATAAAATGAAAGTTATATGCTGATCCCAGGTGCCTGAAAGCATAAAGGGACCAAAACGGACTGCACTCCAGCATCAGAATAGGGAAGTGATGTCTAGTCACTAAGATCCCAGAGGAGAAGGCAAACAAGTTGATAAGCCAGGGTAAGCAGGGCGCAAAACACTCTGGCAAGGCAGTGAGGTAGATAATACTATAATATGAAGTGTAGATGCACCCACATGAATGTTAGTATGCAGTGGGTACTGTGTGGTGAACACCGGCAAGCCCTCAGGCATCTTCTGTGGAAGTACATAGCTAATGTACAGAATAAAGAATTACTATTTTGTTAAATTACAAATCCAGCTCATGTACAGCCAGATGAGTAAGACCTCTAGTAAGCAAGGTAAAGATAAGAAATAAATATTTTTCATGTGAAGTCTAGTTTACATGAAAAAGGCATGATTTTCTCATATGAAATGATACATTTTTATTTATGTAGATTTACCTGTTCCCACCCATGTTCCCTTGTGCCCATCCATTCATCTCTGTAGAGGACTGATAGGCAGGGTTAGCCTGAGACTGCTGTATCATAGGACTCTGAGTATGAGCCATCCTTGGGGACATTAGTGGACTCTGGGGAGTGGTAGCCCCTGTGAAGCCTGGATCAGGTTGCTGACTTATTCCTAAAGAATAAAAGGTCATTTTTACTTAGTGTACATTGTAAACAAATACAAACTGACAGCCTGATCCTTGGGCAGTGCAACACTGATGTGCATGTGCCTAAGGGACCAATATGAATCTTGGCCTTAATTACCAGAATATATTATTAAACATTTCTAAGGCACCTGTGCATCTTTCATCAATACTAAGAAGAATAACTTAACAGAACACAACAGCCTGCTTGGCTTCATAGAGTAAAGTTGCATAAAATTTTTGAACATATTTACAATACTTATAATGCAAGCAATTTTACTGGACATGTCTTGTCTATTTTAGGGCCTAAAACATATAGTGCCTAAAACATATAGTGAAAAAAACCCACTTCCACCACATATAAAGTCACCCACTACAACAGTGCACTCCAAATTCTCTCCCTCATACCAAATATTTTTAATCTTCTATTTTTTAATTGAGAGAGATACAGAGTTATTACTACCCAGAGTTTTATACAAAATGAAGCAAAATTCTCTCTCATAAGTGTGGATACCCGATTCTTAAAAGGCATATTCCCAAAAGCAGCAGAAAATATTTTGCCAGCTTATTTTATATGCATATCTGTTCAAGCAATTAAAGACACCAATGTCTCGTAAGGAAGAAATGGGACACAGGCAGTAGAAAATCTATTCCCAAATTTGGGCAAGTCATAACTTCTTTGTACCTCAGTTTCCCCATCATAAAGATAGAATATTAAGGCTCAATCACCCCAATAAACAAAACTGAATTCTGGGAATGGAAAGCACTACAATTGTTTAAAACCTTGTGTTATTAATATTATATCAGAAGGAGAGACGGAAAATTTAAAAAAAAAATCAGTATTAGGTAGAATTTTTTTTGCTAATTATTGTAGCAGAGCATGCAGAGGACATAACCTATAACAGTTACACAATAAGAGGAAAGGTCAAAGCTGGGTAGCAAATCAGTGGTAGACAACCTTTTCTAGTTGCAGGCCAGAATGACAACTCAGGTTAGAGGCAGGTGGGTGCCAAGACCTGGCTGCTTCTGCCACTTCTCACTGCTGTGACCCAAGAAAAGCCCTCGCTCCCAAAGCCCCATGGCCTGCTGGCTGGATCTGGCCTGTAGGCCACAGGTTGCCGACCCTACAGTAAATGATAAGCCATAACTGTTCCCCACAACCCCCTCCAAACAAAGCAGAAGACAGCTTAGTTAAAAACAAGGATGGAATGATATCAGCCATTAGATACATATAGGCTTGGAGACAGGGAGATGGAAGCCTTTTTATGTATTAAATTTTATTATCTAGAAGTCAATGGTTAGGTTGTTAATTTGACATTAAAACATGCAGACAAACTATTACAATTTAGAGGTGATACTTGATATTAACTAATCTCTCATGACCACTATATAAGAACAAACCAATATAAAGATGATTTAAAAGAATTCTGTATAGCTTTACTTCTGAATGGTTTTTTACAGCACTCATTTATTTTATCCCCCAACACTGATAACAACTAGCATATTTTTATTCATCTACCTTTTAAGGCTATATATTGATTTGTTTCTGTTGGTCAGAATTCAGAGCCTTTCAAGCCTATATATATATATATATATATATGTATATGTACACACACACATGTATGTGTGTATGCACATAAATAAATAAACACACACACACACACACACACACACTTCTGCCATTCTTCAATAAACCTGCACTCAGAGAAAAGGTGGTACCTGAGCTAGGAAACTGGAAGGTACTGTGCTGCATTTGGGGACTCATGACAGGCCCAAACAGTCCTCCCATGCTTCCCATCATTCCCTGGTTAGCCAGATTCATCTGGGAGCCATGCAAGGAGCTGTGAGAGAGGAGCTGTGACCCAGGATTGGGGGACACTGGGGAGAAAGGACTGGTGAAAGATGTTAGGGATCTAAGTCCAGTACCGTAGTTTGGAGGAAATGGAAACTGCTGTGCATTTGCTTGTGGAATCCGTGGGTTGCTCATGGTTGCTGGTATACCACCAGAGGCCACCATGCTTGGTGTCATATTCAAACCCTGTCCTCGCATCATTAGAGTTCGCTGTTGCACCTGCTGTTGCTGGTGCATCTGTCTTTGCCTTAGGTGCTGACTCAGTATTTCCCTCTGCCTCTGGGCCAGCATCTGTGCATTGATAGGTCCCTATGGCAGAAATGACAAAAAGTATATCAATAAACAGTACTAAGTAAGTGAAACAAAAGAAGCGTATATATGGGAACGACCAATAACACTGAAGTTCCTTTCTTTACCAGACACCTAAATAATTGGAAGGTAAAAGTTCATAGCACTAGTTCTGACAGAATTCCAAAGAAGAATTCCATAACTATTAATGTTATAAATGACATTAGTACTGAAACCTTACGATTTCAAATCTTCATATATTAAGCCATTCAAAGCACATCATACTTCATAGGAGAAAAACTCAGGTTAAAATGGAATTACACAAGTATTCCTCCCACACCCCTCAATAACCAAACTTCCACATAGTTTATATGCATTTTTGTTTATGTATTTTGTGATTTTGAGATTTATTGTTTGCAATAAATGTTGTGATTTATTATTTGCATTTATTATGCATTATTAGTATTGTAATTAGAATGAAGAGCCTAACTTTTGGGAAAAATTAAGCTTGAAACAAATTGGAAACTAAAAGGAATAAAAACAGAAGTACTAAGAGTACCTGGTCCCTCACCTGTGTTGGTACTCCAGGCCTCAGAGACAGGTTCATGTTGGAGACACTGCTGATCTGATTGATCAGTGGCTGGCGATTCTGAAGAAGCAAAACAAATCAGAAGAAAACCAAATAGGAAATTACATTCTACATGTGTTGCAGGTTCTGACAGACCGTCATAGTTAGGTGTTATTGTTGTAAAAAATCAAATGAGATACTATGCTATGGCAATTACACACACACACACACCCATTATAAATATTATTACATTATAAATATTAGTCTTCCAGATGTAACTCCTTCATAATTACGAATTTTTAAGACAGAAACAATATTTTTCCCTCAAATAATATGTTTTACCATGTTTTATTTACATCAGTACTCAAAATATGGTGGTAAAAAAATAACAAAGGGAACAATAACTTAAAATGGTCACAAGGTGGAGATAGTGACAAGAGACATTTTTAAGATTGCTGACACTGTCTCAATGAGCAAGCAGGTGACTATGCATCAGAAGACACCATTATAACCTTGCAAAGGTCTAGTGAGACCAGGACTAAAAAACTATGCACATTTTTTACACCATGTAATTACAGAAAAGATAATGACAGGCTAGAAAAGTTGCAGAAGCAGTAAACAAGGAGAATATGTACCATTCTCTTGTACGAGTTAAAATATGTACTCTCCTATGAGAATTCATTCTGGCCAATATTTCTATTTCAGATTTGGAATTGAAGGTAATACATAAGACAGAGAACACATTCAGGAAAAGAATATCCAGAGCTAGTTGAAGTAAATATATTTATGCTATGCTACACGGCTGTGCACTGACTGAACTTGTCATAGCTAACATGTAAACACTGAATACCTGCTGTGCTTGGAGTCTATGTTGAAGTTGAAGTCTCAGCTGATTTGGTTGGTTCTGCACTATACCAGTAGGCCTAAGACCAGGTCTAGTTTGCATACGCAGTGTTGGATAACCAGGTCGCTGTCCTATTGGGTGAAAGTTTGGATCCTGCATGGGTGTATAGCTACCCTGGGCCATTTGAGCCTGAGATGCATACTGTTGAGTGAAAACTGGTGCCTTTTGTTCTATTATGATGTTCGAATCCTGACTTGAGAATGTCTCTGGATCTACAGCCTGGCTCTGCAGAAACATAAAAATAAGAACAGGTAGTAAAAAATGTAACCTTTACTATAGTATACCTACTTTAACTGTGCAGTAAAAAAATATAGCATTGAGATTGTTTCAGTCTAAAAGCCCAGCCTCTCTACCAAAAAATCCTTTACCAAATAAATATCACTGGATCAAATTTACCCCTAAAGATAGGTACATTTTTATGAGTGTTTAAATTAAATTTAAGATTAATTAAACTGTTTCCATAATATGTTAAGAAAGGCATGTGTTTGCATCTCTTCCTTGAAGCTACATACTTCCTGCAGGCTTCTCAGTATGAACATTGATGCATTGTGCTAGTGCTTGAGAACCTGAAAGTAAAATGACTAGAAACTATAAATAAATGGCAAGGACTTTCCCTCTCATCATGACTGAATTGGAGTGTAGCTGTCATCAGTTAAGTTAACCTGCTGCCCCTGGATTCCAGAGTGAGTACTGCTCCCCTCACCACTTGAGCAGTTGATGCTGCTAGCGTCTCCCAGCTCCTGCTTCCATTGCCAGCCCCTGTCCTGGGTACGCCAAGAGTCAGGTCCTCATGGTGCAGCACACACCGTGCAGAGGCACCAACACAGTACTGCTGAGGGGAAGGAGGGAGGGGCATGGTGAGCAAGTTGTACAGCATATGGCCTGGGGGCCATGCCCCCAGCTACTCAGAAGTTGCCTCTTAACTTGAGGTAGTTGACACACTTCTATAAGATAGTCTAGACACTCCCAAATGTCTGTTTCCAGGTATAATAATTTGTAATCCACCCTGTGAATCCAATTGGCTGGAGGTTAAATACTCTAGTGAAGACAAGACCTTAAACTCCTTTAAAATCCTTGTATCAGTAAATAATATTTTTAAAATCTGAAATTGGATAGTTTCCTTTACATTTGTAAAATGCTTAAAATCATTTCCATGGAGATACTTCTTAATAAGACATGCATGTACTACTTTGCTTCAACTAAAGTATTACTTTTGACACTTGTTCTTTAGCAGTACAGTTGTAGCTATTCATCCCTCTCCTTTTTCTTTGGCAATCCCTCATGGATGAGGATGATTGTCTTCTATGATGGTCTTATCTCTGGGTCTGAAGATGGCTGATGAGGTCTATCTGGGATCGACAGATTCTACTGCAGCTTGGACATGTGTTTCCATGTGGAGTGGATGGTGCTGGATTCTTGGTTTGGTCTGTGACATACTGTTTCTGCTGCTCCTGCTTTTCCATTTCCTGCTGTTGTTGTGAGGTTTCAAAGCACTGAGATCCCTGCAGCAGACTCTCCTTCTATTTAAGGCAGTCCTGGGGGATAGTGTCCCATGAGTTGACATCAATGTTGCATTTTTTAAGTTGGCCTTGAGGACATCCCTGAAGTGTTTTCTCTACCCTCCTCTTGAGTGTATGCCTTGGCTAAGCTTGGAGAATAAAACTTGCTTCGGGGGTCTGGAGTCAGATATCCAGATGACACGGCTGGTCCAACAAAGTTGATGTTGGATTCATAGATTCATAGATGTTAGGGTCGGAAGGGACCTCAATAGATCATCGAGTCCAACCCCCTGCATAGGCAGGGAAGAGGGCTGGGGCTAGATGACCCCAGCTAGATGCTTATCTAATCTGTGATGATCATCACCTCAATACTTGTGGTGTTTGTTTGCAAGAGGACACTAATGTCGGTGCATCTGTCTTCCCACTGGATTTGGAGAATCTTTTGTGGGCAGTGTTGATGGTACTTCTCCAACATCTTTAGGTGTGTCCTGTATGTTGTCCATGTCTCAGCTCCATACAGCAAGGTGGGAATCACGATTGCTTGTTAAACCATGAGCTTGGTTTCAGATCTGATGCCACTATCTTTCAGCACCCATTTCTTCAAGTGTCCAAAGGCTGCACTTGCACATTTGAGACAATGCTGGATTTCTTCACTGATGTCGGTCTTCTGAGAGAGATGGTTTCTGAGGTACGGGAAATACTCAACATTCTCCACAGTCTCACCATGGATCTGGATTACTGGAGCTGGGGACTGTTCATTAGGAGCTTGCTGGTGGAGATATATGATAGTTTTGACTACTGAAATAAATGTTAATCAAAATCTTGTCTCTAATGAAGCACCGCACTGTGCTCAGTGTCATACCAGATATCCATAGATGGATTTTTCTAATGTCCAACTCAGGACTTTATGAGCTCTCTTTTATAGCTAGAGTATTTTACAGATAAAGAATCAGATATAGAGAAAGAAAAAGGTCATATATGACACACTGAGTTATTTCAGTAGGTACTACTCTCACACAAAGTGGGGAGAGAGATGATTGGCTGCACATTACTGAGCCACAAGCACAAATGTGTCTGTCTCAATGTTACAGACAATGTTACAGACTTGTCTATCTTAATGTTACAGTCTGATAATGCACCTTGAATTAGAAATTAGACACAAAACTGATCAAGTATCAGCATATAATTTTTCCTAAGCCTTTTTTATATTTCTATCATGCTAAATCAACATTGTGTAGCATTGCAATTGAGAAGAGCCAACTGAAAGTTAACAGGAATTGTAGGAAAGAGGATAAAGCCAGAAGTTTAAGTACTTTGGGCATATGTAAGGATTTTTCTATCCTAAAACCTACAAGGTTTTAGGTGGTTGTGGTTTTACAATACAAACAGAAATTTGTTTTACAATACAAATATGATGTAAATGCAATGTAATTTTTTAAGGCTGCACACAATTTTTCCTACTGATCAGAATCTTAAATCATGTTATTTTCCAAACTGCCAAAAGTCTGTGTATGTAACATGAATTTTCATCTCCTTGACCTTCAGGGGATTTCATCCTTTAAATGTATACTGGGAATTCATTAGTATCAATATACCTGGCTAACCAGTTCTGGTATTCCTAGAGCCCTGTCAATTTCTTCTAGACCATCAAAATTTCTTAGTGCCATATAAAGCTGATCCAGGAGAGTCCCCTCATCACTTGGTGACTCTGATGAAGGATGATTACACAGCAAGTCATCTGGTGAGCTGCCAAATGGCTGCCTGTGAAAACATGAATATAAGATGAGTAAACAGCTGCTGGAAGAAGAGTACTTAATTTAGATAAAGGATTATTTCTCACAAATTGAGCTAACAAGTCCCATACTACAGGTGGCAACTATTTTCACAGCTGCCAATTCTGCTTGGTAATCTCCGAATGGAAAACTTAGTTCCCAAACACCTGAACAGCTGTCATGTTACCAGGACTAAAAGTAACAAAGGGAGATGCAAATACAGAATAGGATCAAAGGAATAAGGAAGTCGGCGTAAAATATATTTGCCAAAGGCAGAAACAAGACTAAATAGAGAGAGAATGAATGTTATTCTTTTACTAGTGTTGAAGTAATGTTGTAACTGTAATGGTCCAGGAAATCTGAGAGAGGCATGGATTTCTAGGATGATTATAAGATATAAAAATCCTTGCCTTTTGCATTATTTTACTAGGAACTCCAAATTACACAGGCTGGAGAAAAATATTATTACCAGACAGGAGAAGCTTACTCCTAAAGAAAGCATCCTTAAGAATGGGAGTATACTTAACCACTACTATTGGCCTCACTTATCACACTACCTAGGCAAAGACTCACCTTGCCAAGACAAGGAAGCCCTTCTTTTACCCTATTATAGAGAGGGCCAGTGGAGCCTCTGAAGCTGATCACCTTCTCTGGTAGCTAATCCACATTGTTGCACACTCCTTATCTTCTTCCCTTCCCCAGTCTAAAAAGTCTGCAATGCAGGGACTTGCAGACATATCCAGAGAGTCTTATTTCCCTTCAAGTTAGAGTCCACAGCATCTAACTTCTAGGTGCCCAGGCCCCCCAAGTTAGGTACCTGGGCTTCCTGTAGAATGCCAAGTGAAATGGAGGCTCTTCAGAATGATTATGCAAAAAAAACCCTATACACTAAGCAATGAGCCACCAGAAGCTTGGGAACACTAAGCACAGAGGTGTGTCTGTACTCTCACCTCTATTTCTGGGATGTCATTTGTGGTAGTTTTTGGATCTAAATCTGACTTAAGTTGGAACAAGATATCCAGCTGATCAGACTAGGGCATTTCTAGCCATGTGCAGAAAACAGAACTGGAGACATCCATGGAAACTTCTGG